CTGGAATGCAAACACGTGTGTGGTAGGCAGGGGGGAGGGTTGGTGGATGTGCCTGCGTGCATGGGAGCCGTCCGACAGGTGGAGAGGAAGGGAAGGCAGGGGAGGAGAACCGCGCGCGCCGGAATTCGTACGAATTCCTCCCCGGCGCGGCGGCGGGATGTGTTTTATGTACGGCGTGGCGTGATGCACCGGCCGACCTATGAGGATGAGGATCGCCTAGGATATCCCGATATGAATACCGCTGCGTGCTGTATAAGAGGCAGGATGTAGGACGTACGTGTGTCTCGAGTTGAGTTGCTGGCTTTTATGTTCCGTCTGTATCGGAACGCGAATTCGTTTGTCTTACGTAATTGCACGGAATGCTCTCGTTACCCCCCAGGTAGAACAGCAAGTCACAATGAAATCAAAATGACGTCAAAATAATGGCAAAATGACCTAAAAATCGTCATTCTAAGCTAACATTAAGACTACATTCGGAATTTTATTTTATGTATCAAATTTGTTATTTTATATAATAAATTTGTGGTTTCGTCCCGTTAATAAAATCTGGGCGCTGAAGCTGTCTCACATTATCGTCAAATGAATCCGCGTCATATCGGCAGCGACCGTCTTACGCGGATTGATCTTTGCGAATAAGCGCTCGCCGACGAAGAAATCGCGATGGGCAGCGCCGCGAGAACGGAGCACGTGATGTACCGCGTTTCGCTCTGATTCCGATCGCGTGAAAGATCCCGGCATGATTTCGCCTTAGTCGTCGCCTTAGCGTCAGGCGAAAACTGCACGGTCGCCATCGATTTGTTATTCCGGCGACGCGCGGGACGAAAGTGAATCGATCGGCGTCGGGGCTAAGGCCTATTCAAACGGAACAATTTTCAAATCGCGCGAGAATTCCATTAAAACTTGACTGATTATAAAATTTCTCGAGTTTTACTTTTATATTTTGTCGTTTATCACTTTTTATTTGAATAATTCTTTTGATGCATAAATCGGCTATTAATTGCCGAGTTTCGACGGCAACGTACTCTCGTAGAATAAATATTTGTAGTTTGTACTGACAGATATTGCATTTCTAGATTGCGAAAAACACTACAAATGTACGTAAGAGTGATTATGTCGCGATGTTAATAAAAGATAGCGCTTCGCAGGAACGAAATAGTTTTGAGCGCAACGCATTCCTTCTAAATCGCCCTTTAAATTTCATGCGGCTGTTGGCGCACCGCCTCCGCGTCGCACGTGCGTCTTCCGATGACGTGCTGAACTTGTTAATGAAACGCAATCGCCGCGTCGTGGCGAGCGTAGAAGGAGAAAAGAGATCCCGAAACACAAATCACGCGCGCGCGAGAGAATCGCCTCGAGCTGGTTTCACTGCCAAGGTGGATCTACTTGCGACGCGTAGAGATAGACTTCAATGCTAGGAAAGGCGATGTCGAGAATCGAAATGTTTTCTCCGTTCCTGCAGATTTTTCGATAAACGATCTTTCACAGGATTTTTAAATTATAAAAGATAAATTGTGAACAGTAACGAAAAGTAAAATAAAAATCTGTAGCTCATATTTTTATTTTATATATTATATTAATGATATACAAAATAGAAATATTATAAAATAAACTTGTGTGTATGTATTATTTTAGTTTAACAAATCCACTATCTTTCTTTTTGTAAAGACATGTAACCTTATATAAATAAAATTATTACGCGTCGCAAGATATGGCTTGCAGACGTATAGATTTGCAGATGTGTGATTATCATTGCTAAACACGATACCATCAATATACCGAGGTAACATGCGATTTTGAATAATAAGTAATAGACTGCAGTAATCGAAGGAAAAATTGTAATTTCCATACAAATTACACGATTGCTGAGATATCTACCAGAAACGAGAATGTGTTGCAGAAATGAATAATTGTAATGAAGAATAAAAGAAGATACGAAAAATTCGCAAACATATCTTTCACGTTTCGCATTGCTTCTTCAGCTTTCAAATGCAACTTTCAAAATTTTGTGACTTTAAAAAGAACGAGTAATAAAATACACGTCTAAAGCCCCTTGCACAATGCCATCAAGCAACAGGCAATAGGAACAGGGAATAGAAATCAGAAATCATGTAAAAATGCAGAATAAACAGTGACACAGGCAATAGACACAGAGTTTCCGTCACGTTGGAAATTCTGTGCCTATTGCCTGTTGTCAACCTATCATAGCATTCGAATTTTTTAGGTTGTAATTAACGATTTTTTTGTTATTTCCTGTTCCTATTGCCTGTTGCCTGGCATTGTGCAAGGGGCTTAAAGGTCGAATAAGGTAGAATAGAATAAATTTCGGCACAATACTTGAATTCCGGATCCGCTTCTGAGAATTCTAATGTTCGAGGCGAATCGAGCAATTACGATCGTGTCGAGATCGTGGGTCCAACGTCCAACTCCAAATGCCCTCGTAATAGTGATTTCGAATGCAGCCCTTGTACCGTGGTTTAATATTGCGTGGCCCTTGTCGGTTAAGGTCTTTGGAGTCGTAAAAATGATGATGGTTCGCAGCATATTGATTCCGTGTTAAACATGGCGTATTATTTACAGTGTTTATTAGTGCGTGTTAACAATCGCAGATAATAGCTGATTAGAGGTGAGCGGCTTAAAAAGGTATTGTTCAAGGCGATTCTATGCGCGGACATTGAAATTATATAATCGCATGGGAAGGTTACTTGTGAGAAGCTGTGTGTGGGGGAAAATGTTATACTAACATAAAATGCTTTCTGTTTAAATTACAAAGATAATTGGATTATATTCCGAATATTATTTAAGACTTGTATCGAGTTTTTACGTGCTTCGTCTTTTATTGCAGACATTATATGCAAGCATTATTAAATAATGATAATTGTATGATTATAGAGCGCGGGAACGCGAGCGAGATCAGGTAAAATCAACATAAGCTCAAGTTTTATTATAAACTGTGATTGTCTTTAATATAATAAAAGTACTTTGTTCAATTTAACGACTATTTACATGTATATAGTATATATATATTATATATGTACAGTAATTAAGTAAATTTTCACAAAACGCACGAGCGTAAAACGTGTGCCCGGCATCCGGAATCTGAGGATGAGATCCTTCAGAGCGCGACACGCAGAGTGTGTAACCAACCGATTTCACCGACCACGAAGAAGATTTTTCGGTCTTCAGTGCACGAAAGCAAGAAACACAGGTGACACTTATTTGCACTTGTGAAGAAGATGTCTTCGAGCGCGAATCGTCATATCGATCGAATATTCGAAGATGTTTTCGAACAAAAAGCGACAGCGCGGAAAGGAATTTGCGATGATGAGCGATATGTTCAATTGGCAAAATTGCGAGCGACTGAGCGACTGGCGCGGGAGACCTGAGCTTTCAAGACACTGCTATTTATTTCTAAAATTATTCTCTATTGTATTGTTAAGGTTTCCTTGTTAATATGAGTTATACAATTTACATACTTTTTTATTATTGAATTTATGATTTATATATTTACACTTGAAAAGGATCAAAATTAATGATCGAAGCGTCGTAACACCTGAATTTAATAAAAGTAGTCATAATTGGGTCGAATAAAAAAAGTCATTGTTTTCTAAAAGATTCCAGGCTCTTCGCGGATCGCTTCGTCGTTGAATAATTAGCAGTCGACAAATAATAACATTTTAATTTTGCTAATATTGTGAGACAAGCAAGAGGTGTTTATCACAAGTATGATATGTTATTGCCTGTGTTCCTTGTGTTTATGACACGTGTAATTTCGCCACCAAAGGCCAAAGGATCGAGCAAACCGTTGCTAGTTCAAAATTTATTAGCGTTACATAAAGAACGGATAATTATGAAATTAATTAATGTGATGTCAAACAATATAAAAAAACATTTTTTTTTTAATTTTGTCACAAGTTAAATTTCTATATTTCTTCGATTTGATTTATCGTGCAACTTAAATTAATCTTTATTTTAACAATGATTCGATTTAAAGCTTAATCGTAATAAAGCAAATTAAGAAGTTGCTACAAACGAAAGTTACTTCTAAATAACCGTGAAATTTTCCTAAAAATGTTAACATACATATATAATTCATTAAAGCGAACAAACTAATCTTAAAGATTGTGGCTCCGGTTTGACAAATGTTCTAATACAATTGTCGTTGTCGAGTGGAAAGGAAATAATTTTCAGGGACTCCGCGCTCGAACGAAGAACAGCGCATCCTGCGTTACATAATGCATTAATCTCCATCGTGAGTCCCTGTAATCGCTCAATTACGTAAGTAATTTTCGTCGAGGCGATCAATCGACGATGCATCAAATTTCTGTCATTACATATCTACGATCGATGCATACCCAAGTGGCACGTGTGACGACAAGTCGCATTGTCAATTTACAGCCGCGCGTTTAGAAATAAGTATCGATCGTTCTATCATCTAGCTTTCTATTTTAAGACAGTTCGATCGGCTATTAGAAGCTATATTGAGAGCACCAATTAGAATGCAAATAACTGCTCGTAATTTTCAGGTGATAACGAGCGTTGACGGGATCGCGATTAAAACTATAGAAGTCTATTAAAACAAATTAAAAGGAAATCAAATTTTAACTCAATTGACTAATTGTACAAACTCAATTTATACCCAACAATTGTAAAAATTAATTTAAAAAAAACGGTAAAAATTGAAAATTATGGAAAAAAATTTTAAGTAAAAACAAAAGAATGTATTATAGCAATAATGACGTAGATGTAAAAGCAATAAACGGCAAACGGCTTTTGCTTTTGATATAAGCACTTCCTGCTGTTCCCTCCATTTTAGATGCTTTATAAGTGTCGATTATTTTTTTTTTCAAATAATTTTTAATAAAACTGCACGCGGACGCCTGCGTTATTTTTCGAAGATTAAGTTGTCGAACCGCAGCCCGCGACTAATCTAGCACGATAACTCGGCGATTAATCTAAATTCTATGCGACTGACAGGTGGAAAATCGGCAAATTGTACTTACCGCGACAAACGGTGCCGAGGGCCAGCAGGGTGATCCAGGCGGTCATCATTTTGGAGAATGGCCGGGACGTCATCCTTGACAACGGCGGCACATTTATCACTGCGGTTGCGGTGCGGCGAGCTGCGGCGACGACGGGACGGAAGCGTCGGCCGTCGCGACGTCGTACGCCGTAGGTCGTGGAGCACGTGTACTGCCGCCGAGGCGTTTGCTCGCGTGCGATTTGTACTCGCGACTCGCGACGGCGCGACGACGGCGCATGTAAGAACGTCCCCCTCTTCACGAGAGATACGAGCGTTCTCTAGCTGTGTCCGCCTTCCGCAGTGACTCGGATCTCTATCCGGTTCGCTACCTGAAGACCTGTCAGGTGCTCAACTTCACCGGTCGGTCGGACGGTACGCGACGCTCCCGTTCTCCGATAAATCAATCGCCGATCTCGCGGAACGAGTCTTCGGTGGTTGTTCAAACGATTGGCTGCATTGAATGGATAGCATTAAGTTCCGTTCGGATCTTTTTGATGGAATATTGCTACAGTATTCTTTAGAGACGTGCGAACTATTCGAATTGAAATTTCTATAATTCAAATGTGAACTATACGAAAATTTTGAATTTTGATCTAGATCGTTTGAATACGAATTATGTATTTGTTGGCAATTTTATAAAAACATATTTCTCTTTAATAAGCAAAACAGCATGATCGTGTTAATAGGTGCATTTAGTGAGTGCATTCAGTATTACAACTGCTCAATGAGCGGCTAAATAGTAGTCAAAAAGTTTATTTCTTTTTTTTTGGTGTGTGATCCTATCCAATTGTAAGTAAAAGTTTGAACGTATGTAAAAAATAGTAAGCTATATGTGATAGCTTACTATTTAGCTGATAATAAAATAAATTGCATATTTTACTTTATTTTAATTTCTATGTACATAATTGAATAATGTTACTGGATGCTACATTAGAGTATCTTAATAATTTATCTATGATTTTTCGCCTAATTGTTTTAGTTACTGCGACATTCAAAAAAGTATGTTTTATTAGTTCTATGTTAAATATATTTAAATATGTTTTTGCTTTTTACAAATTTATATAATTAATATTCTCTTTCCACATTAAAATATTCTCTTATTATCTATGCGTTAAAATTCAATCTAATAATAATTATATTGTTAATTAAAAATTATATTTCAATGATCCGATTCGATTCGACATCAAAAATCCTTGATTCGCACATCTCTATAGTATTCTTGAAGTTGTATATATTTCATACACGTAAAGTGCTTTGAAATGTCCAAATTTAATTTTAATGGTAGATTCTCCGATAGATACGAAGATTAACTGTTATCTTAAAAAGAAGCTTGAACGGTCTATTCGTTACGATCCTTCAATATTTAATATAAAATGTGATAGTGATTAAATCCAGTATTGTGGGGATTCCGGAGCAACACTTACTAATTAAAGACATTAATAAAGCAGCTTATTGTTAAAATTAAGATTTCGGAGATTTCAAGACAGCATGTATAAATAACAAATTCTTACGCGTTTGTTATCAAAAGTGAAGGCGAGAATGTTTTCGTTTCGTTCCCTTATCTCTCGCGTACTTCATGTAGAATTTTATTTGACCTATCTGCACGATATTTATGTATATAAACTTTTATATGCGAATAATTTTGTATCAAATGTCTGTTCTATGATAACGCTTTAAAATCGTTCCGTCGAAATAGACTTTTACTCGCGTGATGGCGGTGATTTATGGAGCGATCGATGGAAAGAGGGTCAGTACTGTACAATGAATACTCTAATCCTTTGTGTGCGTAACAAGATTAATTATTCTAAACCCCTTTGCTTTGTTCTATGACTTCACTTTATCGCAAAAGGAGCTGGAAATCTTTCTTTAGTCATAATGTATCGTGATAAGTCTTGACATTCTTTCTGTTATTTTATTTAATATTTTATCTACGATACCTTATCTATAAAAAAAGTTATTATTTACATATCGTAATAAAACTCATAAAATTCCATCAAAACAAAAATTAAATTGCAATTAAATTTACAAATTTTATTTATCATTTAAAGTGGCATTTTCCATTCGTTTCCATGTTGCAAAATAATAAAAAAAAGGTTTTTAAATTAGTTTAAAAGTTATGGACTTAATTATACTTTACAATTTGTACGATTTCTCTCTCAACTACTTTACTGACGAAATGAGGACTAGTATATTATTCGCAATTCTATCGTCTATTTATTGGCGTTTAATTAATCGAGATCTCTTAATTCGTTATTTTTTCAATCTTTGCTGGCGGAAAATACGCTCGATATCTACCGCGTCCGATAAATCTCTAGACAAATGGGATCGCGACGGGTATCGGTAGTAATCGCGTTCTTAATACGGGCGGATCTACTCGAGCGTAAAGTAACATGGCTAATTACTGGGTTGCGCTTCTAATTAGCATATAATGGAACGCAAAGCGATCGTAAACAAGCAATCGTCTAAATATAACAGTTTTAAATAAAGCCGCACTTGCGAGTGTATTTCCTTGAACTTTCCATGGCTAACGGAATGCCAATTAGCCAGGCTGATTCATCGGATTATGGATAGTTCACGAGCGAGGGTGGAATATCAGTTTGCATAAATATCCGTGGAATTCCTTTAAAACCGGCCGTTACTTCAGTTCAGATCAGATCGATTTATGTGCATGCTTTCTACTTTTCTTGTTTGTTCAGAATTGTGCGAAGATCTCAAACGATCATAACTCAAACGTGTCATCCAATTTTTTAGATAAAAATAAAATTTTTATACAGAAATTGCCGGGAAATAGTATTTACAATATTGATGTAAACTATTATATGCTGTTGAATAATAATATAATAAAATAATAGTTAAATTATGTTCAAATATTTATTATTATTAGTACTTCTTTGCAATATAAATATTTCTAAAAATTAATAATTGAAACAAAAATTAACAAAAACAAAAACTAGAAAAGAATAATCTGCGTTTTTTTTAAAGAAAACAATTTAATTTCTCGTAAGAAAATTAAAAAGAAAATTAAGCATCAGTAGGTACTTGTGATGAGTTTTTTTTCTGTGAAGTCAAGTTCTCTAACAAAACGTTCGTATTTTCTCACTCATCCTACTGCATTCAAGTGACGATCGTTTGAGATACGCGCATACATCTGATCGCTCACGCACCTCTATTAACGTAATACTGTCACCATTATCGCGTGCGCATACGAATACCGTGCATTAAACGCCATCCGTTCGTGCGTTTTCCTCAGTCTACTTGACGCAAAAGTATCTCCTGCGTAAATCACGCGCGTAATTTTCAATTCGTGGACGTCAGTCGCATTTACGATATTACCACGCCGTATCATTAATTCATCAATATGATCAACGTATAACGTCTTAATCACAACCGTCCCTTAGATGTTCTGCACTTTTCAATATGTACATCACGTTCCGTCTCAAATTCATTAATCGATTAATCGTGATTTCCTATCCACCAAAATTATTAATTAATTAATTATTGGGACGTCCTTTTAAATATTAATCCTAATATTTAAATACTTTCCTAAAGACCGTTCCAAAATATTTCTATAAAAATCGCTAAAAAATGTCTTTTATTTCACAAATAAACTTTTCTAACAATAAGATCTATGATATTGTCTTTCTCCTTATTTAATTTTTCTCTCTCTCAAAAAAGAAAAAGAGAGAGGGCCATAAACTGACAATCGTGACAGTTTCATGATTTCACTACTTTCTTCAAAACATTATTACTACGAAATATCGCTTCTAAAAATTTTATGAAATCTCTCCGTATTTTCGACTTTTTTCAAATTATTTTCATCTTTCTTTACATCGTTAATTAATCGTCTAATCAATTTGACTGGAAACCAATATCACATTATTCGAGTACAATGTTGTATTTTTTATGTTTCCAACATTACTCACTTGTATTTCTTTCTGGTCCTGGAAAGTACCTTTTCTTTCCTCGATTGCAATCGATTAAAAAGTAAAGATTTTTTGCCAATCTTCAGATTGAAATATTCGTTTTGTCAGGTAACGAATATTAGTATTCGCAGAATATCCGTAGCACTCCCGCGGTTCAAACAGCAGAATGCGGATTTCAAACGATGCAATTGTGGATCTCTCGATCCCGTCGGTATCCGAATTACTCATCAATGAGCACACCAGGCGCGACTCCAAAATTTTTAGATTTTATAGATGAAAGAAAACTTAGAAAACACCCGTCCGTCTCCCGCCAAAACTCGAGTGTCCTACTACCGAATACAGGTACTAGACGCGGTGCGTCTGTCACGCAAAGTGTCCGCACTGCGATCGCGTGTAAAACGTAGACCTCGTGCCAGGTACCCCTTGTCACGCACGGTACCCCTTTCCTACCCGGGAAAGACTCGAGTACTCGGAGACACCCGATTCACTACACGCGTACAAGTATTCGCCGGGGGGGGGGGGGGAAGGTGCGTGCCGTACCCCGGTCGCGATCGCGTTTCGCCCGCTTTTCCGCTTCGCGTCGAAATTTTTCCGGGCACCGGGATTTCCGCGGACGACTCGCGGCTCGTCCGCTGGTATCGGAGTATACCGGTGCTATTTCTCGCGGGGTGTCCGCCGCGCGCGCGGAGTGTTGTCGCGTATACTCGCGGAGTGGTGCACCGACTACAACTGTATAGGCGGCTCGACGACGGTCATCGCCGACCGCGCGCAACCAGCGCGACTCCGGCCGGCCGCAAGTGGGGGTCCAACGTTACACCGGGGGTACGTGCGTGCCGTGGGGATCCCGAGGGGGGGCCCCTACCTATCTGCTGACGGCGTCGACGGGGGCCCTACCGAGACTCGTCACCCGTGACTCCACCTCCCACCTGACGGCTCCCACAGATAACCTCCGCCGAAGGGTATACCTCCTCGTGAAAGACGAGCCGCGATAAGGTGTATATCCGCCCGGCGAGGAATTCCTAAAGCGGAGTCCGTTCACGATGCTCCTCTCTTCAATCCATTAAACGGTTTTTACGAGACACGAGTATTCGAGACAGATTGCTTTAACGACTTGCTCATTGTGTGTTTCGAAAAAAATGTCGTACAGCCAGAGAAGATAATGCCTAAATTGGAGTAAAAGAACAGATAAATGTTTTACATAAGATTTAAGGATGTACTGCACCTATTTTCAAAGCGCTACCAAGTGGATAAAAATTTGTGAGAATGTTCTTTTAGTCTTCCTGATGTGCTACAAAAAAAGTAGAAACGAATCCACTAAACGGTTGCTGAGATATAACGATTTTAATTTTCACTGATTTTACACGTATTTTTATGGGAAGATGAGACGATTTTGACGGATAAAACTAAGCTAAAAAAATGTTGAAAGAGCGCTACCAATATTTTGAATTTTTTTGTACATCTAGTATACGAATAGATGAAACTACCTGTCAAGTTTCAATTGTCTTTACTACACCGTTTTAAAGAAATAAATTAATAATTAATGATAATTAATGATAATTAATTATTAATTAATAATTAATAATTAATTATTAATTTTATTAATAATTTGACGTTATAAAGTTGAAATCAGGGCATTTTTACTGCCAAAAGTTTAGGCTCATAAATTACAAAAATCGCAAATAATACTGGAAAAAACATTTGTAAAGTAAAAAATACCTTTGTAGGAGTAAAAATAAGACTCCTACTATCATTTGAGTATCTTACATCTAGATTTACTATGCGTTAGCCGTAGATATTGAAGTATTTCAAATTTCATGCACTTTTGTCTAAGATTGTACCAGTGATACATCCTTAATAGAATATTCGATAAAAATATAATCAAAATAATTTTTATATGAAAGAATTTACTAAATGTTAGAGTACAAATAATATTTGAAGAAGGATAAATGAAAAAATAAAAAATAAGACCCCCATTAAATTTACATTTTTTATATTTACAATAAAGAAGTTACATTTCTGAAAATAGCTGAAATCCCATATTCCAATTTTACTTTGATAAGAAGCTATTCAAAAGTTAGTTTGATTTTTCTGTTCTTATTTCTAATATGATTGAATGATTTCAATATTACTAAACTGACACTTGATTTTATATTTAAATGCATTTAGATATTTTATTATACGCTAGCGACCAGGATTTTTGTCCGAGTGTTGATGAATTTTCGGAATTAATTAAAACATTGAGATACGCGAGTAACGCGAGGCGATTTTTCTCAATCAGTTTCAAGAGACAGAGATATTTAGCTTGTTCTAATAGTCCGAGGCACGCACCCGGAAACGGGTAACGTGCACATAGATCGGATCTTGCCTTCGACCATGCGAAAGGCTGTGAAAAAAAAAAACTATCGCGCATAACAGGATGCGCCGGAGTCCGGACACGTATATCTCTCGATCGAAATGGACAGCGTCGATATGGCATTGCTTACCGCGAGACGATAATGTTCATCCCCGCGAGGCACGATGAACAATAATGTGCATTCGCCATCGCGGAATCGTCGAGGCAGTAACGGAACTTTTATTACGACGCCGCGCGAGTGCCGATCGAATAATAACGCAATCTCGAAAGAAAATGCGCGACGCGCTCGAATCGTTCGCTTAATCGTTTGATTTTTATCGGCTCATCAAAAATTGCTTGCGGATAGTATTTTTAGATGACCTATACAATGAGTCTTTATCGTGATGAGAAATAGCGACTCGATACCGAAAACGAAAGACATTACGAGCGAGATGATCAGAAACATATCATTAATAAATGTCGCTGTTAAACTTATACAGTAAAAAAACTGTAATTTGGACAGTCCATTATAGCAAGGAAGAATTATAAATGGCGCTCTTGATCAAATTATACGTTATTAATAATTTTTATGCGATTAGGCAATCGAGACGATAAACGCGCCGAATGTTTGATCGATCGTAAACGGTAGGCGTCCATTTTTAACGTCAAACGTGGGACACGCCAGGTGCGGTTTCCAATAAAAATTGTAGAAAGAAAGAGAAACGCGTGTCTCTAATCAGCGTTCGGGGACGCAGCTCCTAAGTAGCTCGACTTGGGCCGTCGCCAAGTTCGCACGAAATTCTTCGGCGTACAAGTTCAAGGCTCGCGGGGCGGCACGGATACCCTCAAGGTCACCGAGTGTGCAAATACCGTGATATTATGGTCGCGCAAGTGCGGCAGCTTTCTCATTGTCGGTCGTGTTCGGACGAGATCTGACATAAGTGCGCGCCCGCCCGTCAAAGTATTCCCGAGGGACTCGATCGACGCTATATAATCAATCGGCCTAATAGCGCCCGGCCCGAGAGAGCCGACGCAATTCTCTCGCATCCTCCTCCGCTGCGTTTCTCGACGAGAAAGAGAGAATTCCTTCGCCCCCCCTCTCCCCCGCCCCTCCTTCCCGACTCGGTTGCCGGAATTACTCAATGGAAATAACGGAATTAGTCATCGCGCGTGACTGTGAATCACGGCGGCGCCCAAATTTTCTGTCATGATCGCAGGTAGAAAATACCTTCCGTGATGGGAGAGATCCTTGAGAAGTTGGACCGTCTATTGAAATCGATCTTGATCTATATGAGTGAGCACGTCGAACTTTGCCGCCAAGAAAATTTTAATAACAAATTATTGATATTTTGTTACTGAAAAATAATTATTTTGTTTGAAATGTAATGCTCTTGCAACACGAATGCGCACGCCAGATAAAAAATACGTTTACTATTAATTTACATTTATATTGCACGAGATAAAATTATTTGAATGAAGAAAAGAAGACTCAAGAGACATGATAGCTCGCATGGTAGTGTGTCTCGCGTCAAGTATACGCGAAGCGAGACCGCACCGTGGATCTTTTACGCGACGCGACGAGTTGCGAGTACTTACCTGAGTTTGAGACGTTTCAAAGCGTAAAAAATATTTTATCGAATTATTTATAAATGTATAAATATTGTTTCAAATGTTTAAAAAAGAATGTACAGCTGTGCGTGTTTATTCTTAGCACACGTTTCACACAAACACGTTGATAACGATGACAAGTGGAACAGAGTCTGTGCAAATCGAAGGCTGAGAGCTAATCGCCGCAGTGGAAAAAAAAATATAAGCTTTTGTGTCTTGTTAATCGGCCAGCGGATACGCGACCCGGAACATGAATATTTCTAATTCCACGTAATCATTCGTCATGTATAAACAAGGCAGGCGTAATCACGGTATGTTTATAGTGTGTCGCATTAGTAATAACGCAACTATTTGATGCCGCTTGTTATTCGGATTGTTTTATAATTTATTCCGAACGGAACGGAAGGCCGGCGCGCGTACGTTGCTACCAGTGTGGAGCATCGTGTACAATGACCGTGATAAGGTAGCCGGGAGTATCGATCGTCGCAGGTAATTATGCGGGCCAAACCCTTCGCGGTGGTACCACCGTGCACCATTTTAACCCACTGTTTAACGATTCGCCGTTTAACATTCCGCAAACACCGTTAAACATTGACAGACCGAGTTCGTGAATTTTCACTTGCCGTAATTTTATCAAGTTATAAATTAAGTTAAAAAATAAAATAATTGTTATTTAAAAGAGAGTGATATATTCTATGCATAATTTAAAGGATAGGTTTCTTTTAGCAACCTGCAAGAGACGGTGGATCTTACCGATTTATACAACCATACAGATACGAAATGTTCTTCGCGAACAATAAGCGCATACAATTTAATGTAAAATCAAGATAATAAACTGCCATAAAATTTATCATGATTTGAGCAGGAGAATGTAAAACTTCCGCATCTGTTTCGTTTTTAAATTGATAAGTCCATTTTCTCTCGCGGTTTTTTGAAAAATCTCTCTGAACATAAAAACTATATTTGAAACTATTTAGTAAAATATATATAACGTATACAGAAGCTATAATAGTTAAAAAAATATTGTATATACAGATAAATAGAATATATCTAGATATTATTGCGGTATAGAAGCCGCAATGGTTACGCTCATAATTATGTAGTTTGAGGCAACATATCGATATACGCGTTTAATTCACTTCCTTCATCGAATTGACGAGATGCAATTGCGGGGAACGCAAGTATCGGTATAGGAAAGAAATGCGATTCGCAATCCGAGATGAGTAATAATTATTCGTCGTCGCTTATCTGCGAATTGACGCCGGGGCAGAATATTCGCGTCTAATAAAGCTGTCGATTCCACGTAAGATTGTATTTCTTCGCGCCGCGATAATGACGCATTATTAAACGATGAGTTGGAACGCGGCTTCGTCTTGAACATTGCGAGTTTTTGTCCGCTGCCCGCAGCACAAAAGCGATTAACGTCGTCGCGGGAACAAATATTATTTTGCCGGACCGTTGTGCTCGTGATAACCGCATATCGTATCGACGCCGACGCGACTTTACAAGCGTACGCGAAACAGGACACCTTATACCTCGGAAAATCGATTTAGAACTTTTTCGCGACATTTTCACGACCGTTGTGTTACCACTGGCGGCAACAATGCCAATAATTAAACATCCAATTAAGTATTTCCGGGCATTGGTTGCGCAAGCGCTCTCTCATATACAACCGCGCGACGTTCCGGGGTTGAGCCAGGGGAATCACTCGTCGGCACCGCGACATTCGAGGCTCAATTAAAGTCATCTTTAATGTCACCTTTCGCTCCGTCAT